ACAGTTAATCCATTCAATACGAGTCTTCTTCAGTAATATTAAACAAAAATGCATATTTAAATGTGTCTCTTGGAAACTGATAAAAATTTAATCAAACACACCATTACAATTTTTCTATTAAAATTTTAAAGATAAAAAGTTATTTAATTCTTTTATCGATTTAAAAAAAAAAATCACCAAATTTGACATTCAAATTAAAGATTTTTTTTTCAATATTCAAAATTTAAGTTAGTATTTTATATTATTTTCAGTATCAATGATATATCAATAATATATAAAATAAAAACCTGGAAAAAATTACTCACTCTGAGACTTAAATGCTATGATGTATTCCATTATGCATTTGTAGCAAGACTCAATGCAGTACCATTAATATGGGTAAATTTCAAGAAAAAAAAATTTAAGAAATCTTAATTATGATTTTGAAAAAATCATTGATGAAGAAGATCAGATCTTAAAGTCAGATTGGTACAAATGTCCAGATGGCATTTGATCTATGGAGGCGATACGATTACGATTTTCCCACGCTTCAATTCCTGATTTCTATTCTTATCCACAATAAGCTGCGGATACAACTATTTCCTGTTTAAGGGACGAAACACTTGACAAAATAAACCATTTTCAACTACATCTAAATGAATTGCATTTTTTGGCGAAATCAATTCCTGCTCACGACAATGCTCTGGTTACGTAAAATGGAACATTTCCTTGAAATGGATTTACTGTACATAATTTACCCCAAGTGGAAACAAAGACGACACAATCTTATGAACAAATATATTAATTAAAACCAATTCAGTAACACCTGGCAAACAATTTCAAATTAATTCAATAATTAAAAAAAAACATATACACAGTATCTCTGTCCTTAGCCATTGGTCTCCAATTAATCTAAAATTACACGGCATAAAATTTAGTAAAATGTCAAAAAATAGTATTTTTTGAATACTCCCTTTTCCTTGCATGAGAGACCAGAATTAAGGTGCAAGAAACCCTATAATTTTTAATATTTTTTTTTCAGCAAAAGATTCAATTTTGAAATATTAAAATTTTTAAAAAGATTCAAATTAAGATAATTGACGGATTGAAATGTTTTATCAATAGTAAACCCGTAAGCGACTATTGGAGTATTAGATGGTGTCACCAAGAGAGCCTTGCTGTACCAGTTATATGATACCGCCAATTAAAAAGAAATTTAATTCCAAGTTTGTAGCAAATCCTTACCCTGATACATTGCAATCCACAAAATGTGATCACCCCAAAAGAACTCATTGACTGATATATGGGATCACAAATTATTTTTTGGCCTTTGACAAACAACTCATAAAAGCTAGGATCATGAACCCCACGATGGGTATAAAAACTACTACATTTCTCCTAAAAATGACCATCAAGTTTATTCTGAAACAAAATGTCAAATACGCAACATAGCAACAATTGCTTTAAATATTACAATTATAGATGTCAAACAAATTAAAAACAAATCCTAAAATGGACGATAATTTTTTTTAAAATATTAATACTACTCACCATGGCCGTATATCCTATGGAAGACCGATTTAAATTTTGTCATCTTTTTGAAGGTTACCACAGAAAAAAATGCCAACAAATTGTCTTGATGACCACTAATAAAATCTCAAATACGTGCACCAACTTTTCATTAAAAAGTTTATAATTCACAAATTAAGCGTTTTTCTCAAAATGGGCCATTCCCATCAGAGTTTTTATTGTCTGCAATCAATTAGCGCTGAAGTTAATCCAATCATTGTCCCTTCTCTCCTCCCAAGCATGAAATTAACACTGACATTAAATGTTTAAAAAAAAAAGACAGGGAACATCGCCGGCTCCATGTTTAATTATAATCATATACACGTTTCTTTTGTTATTGTTAGAACGAAATACGTAATATGAAGAAAAGTTAAGTTTGTGCTATAGACGATGTCGTAATAATGGAAGGTTCATTACGGGATGCAAAGACTGATCGCATCGTGGTACAAAATTTGACACCACTTTATAGGGGAACGTAAGATAAATAAGTTTTCCATTTATCACGAATGCCCTCAATCGTTTTAGAAAAAGGACCAGATTTTTCAAACAGATACTGTTTCAACCATACAATACTATAAGCTATTACTTTTAAAGATGGAAGGTGAGATCAAATGATCTCTTAATAACATAGCTTGAGCAAGGACAAGCAACTTTACTGGGCTCTGTAAAGGCAGTCAGTTTCTTCTTCGAGTAACATACAAATAGTCATTAAACCAGAGAAGGTTTCTCTCACACTAAACACATAATCCTAAAACAGTAAAAGGATCGAATTCACGTATCCAAGAAGTTAGAAAGCTCTAAGATTGGTCCCTTTGGTTAAGAAACATGGTCCTACACTCAGGCACAGAGTTGAAATGGGAGCTAATGAAATGACCAGCAAATTGTAAGTGTGTGCATCATTTGAAATGAGTGACAGTGAACCTAAAGAAGTCAAGTGGGGACAGAAGTATAGGTTGTGGATGGAAAAATTAATTGAATGACCAAGCAAGACCATGTTCTGGGTTTGTTAGTGCCACATTCTGCCTGGCAGTCCAAATCACCACTGCTCTGTAAATCCCTGGGGTCAGTTCTAATCGCTGTGATTAAATCATGCGGCTTCACTCTTTCTCCTTGCACCTACCTCTCGCCTTTTGGCCACAATGGCTACACAAAGTGAGGACGGTGACAGAAAGATACCAGGAAAATCTTTTGATAATCTGAGGGGAGGTATTGTGTGGTACACAGGTTGTTGTGGGCCTTTAGACTGACCTGTACTCTGTTCTATGAAATGAGGTATACCGCTGGTCATTTTGATATGTCAAGGGTAACCTTTTTATTCGAGTTCAAAAGTTGAAATGGCTTAAAAAGAAAGCTAAAGCATCTTTTTTTCTGAATATTTTTTATTGCGAGTCATACGTAAAAGGCGTTTCTGTGGTAGTAATTCATTGGTGACACAGTTCTTGACAAGTCTAGAAAGGGTACACGAAAATGATGAAGTTAAAATGGCAAAAAATTATGAGTTCCATCCATCTAAATCAAAGCTTTGCCGACCCACAACGAATCATTTTTTGGTTGCCAAGAGAACATAGCGTTGCCAAAAATCTTGACATACCAACGCAAATGTTCGAACAATTTGTTTCCGTCTTTACGCAATAAAATGACACGATCAAAAACCGAAATAACATTTATGAACTTGCTTAATTTTTCGCTTGCCAAATCAAATTAAATTTTTCTTCTTAACTGTCATTGCTTTTCACAAGAAATTGAAATCCTGCCCAAAAATTTCTTGTCTTCACTTATCAACATCTTCTCTTAATTAGCCGCGTCCGTGTATAAGGGATTGCGGCAACGTTAAAATATATGACCTAAACCCTACACCATGACATAACAGATGGCATTTTCCCTGCAACGGTTAATTAAAACATTACTTAAGAAATTTCGTGAAAACATATTCACTATGTAAAGGCTAGTATTCACTTTTGAAAAAAAAGTTCTAGATATAACCACTTTCACGAATTCACGAAGACCAGCTTAAACGTAAGGTAATGCTTTACTTTTTTCATACTTATCATTTCTCTGAACCTTAACTTTACATTTCCTTTATTATATATATGCATATGTCCTTTTGAATTTTTGTTAATTTAAAAAATCAACAAATTCTTTTCAAGAAGCACTTCGTTTATTTATTCATTTATTTTTAATAAGCTGTTCGCTATTATTTACGTTAAAATTTGTACAAAATAGGACTATTGTGGACTAAAATTTTTACAACAATAACAATGCGTCTATAGTTAAACAATACTGATCACTCAGTAAAAATCTCTTGATCCATAAAGGATTAATCTAACTTATAAAAACATTTTACGTTGCACTACCTTATTTCGGCCATATATCTTTCACTCTAAAAACAATTACTTTGATGCTCAGTCACACCTGCCATGGCCTGACTTTACTAGGTTGTTGTCCAGGGGGGACCAGTGAGTACCGCACCCCGCCTGGCACTGCGGCCGTGGCTATACAGACGTATAGCCTCTGTCAGCCATCATTCTGTCCCCTGGCCCACCACAAAATCTCATTACACCCCATATATAGTCCACGCTGACTTGTTTTATGCATCTTTATTGCTACCATTGCTTTTCATAAAGATATCGAATACATGTTTTATCATTTGTTTTTAGGATGACAGAAAGTGTAAAAAAAAAAAAAAAGAAAAAAGAAAATAATACAAATCGATCAAATATTATGTCCTGTTTGTAAATACTATATTTAGTACAGAATTTCTGTATATTGCTAAATTTTTCAAAGATTTCAAATTTCAATGTTATATTTTTAACAGATAATGTACATGTATATTTATATTCTTCACAATCCCAAACATGTTTAAAAAAATTGCCCTATTTGATAATGACTTTCTTTTTCTGTTTGGAAATACATAACAAAAATAAAAATAACCAGACATAAATTTATTACTTTTCCATATGAAATCATAAAGTCTTTGACAATTAATATGCATTTTCACTTTGATCTTTGAACTTCAAACCTGCACATTAATTCTGCTGCTGAAACACGACTTAGATTTCCTGTGCAATTCTAAAAACAGTGTTTTTCCCCCTTCTCTCGAAATAATTTTTTTTTCAATAAGGATCAAGACAAAAGTAAGATAATTAAGAAAAACAAATATAATTTTTTTCCTTTTTTTTTGTAAAATTATACTTAAAAACCATATCTAGACAATACTGCCTCATGTGTCTAACAAACATGATAGAAACACAAAAAATAAATTACATTTTCCTGCTCTCTTTGAAAGATTTATCAATAGAGAGTATGATTTTATACTCCACCATTCTATTTCCTTTGCTTTTTGAGTATAAATTTTATGTATACTTACTACATTCATAAAATTCTTTTTTAATGAGAAGAGATTAAATTTAAATAGAAATATTATTTAACTTAAAGCTAAACCTTCGTCATACCTTGTGTGGTACAAATGATATGGTTGCTACCATTCATTGTGTGGTTGCTATGGTGACCATCTGGAGGGGAATATGGCTCAGACTCTGGTGGACTGTCAGGAAGGGTTCTGCAATACCAAAAACATCTCTGTAATTTCATATTATTCAAAAAACAGACCCTATTTCCTGATTCTGTTGGTTTTAATAATCAAAGATTTTTTTTTTTACTATTTGAGGGCACTTGCTTCCTGATGAATAGGGAATATCCTTAACACAATATACTTTACAAGAGTTGGCATCAAAGCCAATATTGTGTACTAATGTCACGTGCTGCAGGAAACAACCCAAGTCCCCCACTTGTCTAACACTAGTTTTACTTCATGGTTCTAAATTTTTCTGTTTTGTTCTCCCTTTACATTACTTATTGTCTAATAAGAATAAAAAATTCAAAAAAAGGAGAGAGAGAGAGAGAGAGAGAGAGAGAGAGAGAGACAGAGAATCATGTTATATACTAGATATTTGACCATAGGTTTCAACCTTTGTTCTGAAGTAGCAGGATTTTTTTTTTTAAATTTGGTCTGTGGAATCAATTTAGACTTAACACTCAACATTTTGATTATTTCAACTGGACCAATCTGAGCTTAATATATCGAAATGAAAAAAGTCAAATCTCAAGAACTCTGCTATTAGTACAGGTACAAACAGCCACATGCTGGTATAAAATACAGAAACTTTAACTGAATTTTACCTTTCAACCTTCTGACAAGAACCAAATTGAATTAGATTGGTCTAAAGTGTAATGGCATTTGTTTAGATGGTATCTATATCCAAGTCGTTCATTTTCCACCTGTACCAGTTACGTTCCAACCGAATGAATTGATTGAACAAGTTGTACCACAAGCCCTGATGTCCCCCTAACCGAATCAATGTCTAAATGTAACAGAGAAGGCTGGCATGCTTCACAAAATCATTCACTTTTCACTCAAATGACACACTTGAATGTAGATTTTCTTCATTTATGATTTATAACTGATCATTGGAAACAAAGACTCATTCGCTCCTGTATTGACATGGTCAGAGTAATTCATTCAATCATGCCATTAGCTTATCTCGTATAGAAGGAAAGATTTGTATAGATACCTAACTACATCAGAAAGTCAGTGATTATATATAATGAAATAAAATCTTGCATAAACAGAAGAAACATTTTTTTCTGACTACAGTAATTCAATAAAAAAAAAAACCAGAACTTGTAGGTTTCCAAAAATAGCCTAGGGAAAAGAATAGTATCTCCAATTACTTTTTCCCAAGTAAAACATCATCAAAAGTTAAAATATAAATGACATTTTGTTTTTATAATAAACAGCAATGTCTATATCCATCTTCCCTGTCTTATTCCCCCACTAATGTGTGTACTTACAATGAAGTCCAGCAGCTGGTAGTACCAGCAGTCCACGTATGCCTGACCTCCACAGACTGTGGTTTGTTTAGATGGTACAAGCCAAAGACCTATACCACATGTCAACCTTATAACTGTTTTGTACCACTGGCAGAACACAATTTATTCTTTATGCCCTCCTTATTTGGGTCTTTTGTCCACTTTAGAATGTTGTCTGAACCACAAATTGACCTTATGAAAAATCCAACACAGGATGTTCCCCTTTTGCTGAAATCACCAACACCCCCCCCCCTCCTAATTTAACCAACCAGTAAGGAAAAAGTTAAGAAATATGGAATATTTCATCTAAACAATACGATATAAATATCCCAATATAAAAATATCATAAATATTAAAAATATCATTGAATTTCACATTTGACTTCAAGAATTCATGTTAATGCCTGTCTGACCTTGAACTTAATGAAATCAAAAATTATAACATGACATTGTGTCAATAATTACGGTATATAAAAAAGTTTTAAAAACTCTAGAAATTGATTACTCAAATAACCACTGGAAATGTAAGAACATATGCTCAGAGTACCTCCTATTTAACCGAAAAAAGGTCAACAGGTCAAAATAATGTAAAATAATGTAAACTTCAAGCGTGTGTGTGTGGGGGGGGGGGGGGGATTGATATCAAGACCCTGTTGTTACAGTAAAGCTACAGTAGCTAAAAATTTTAACTTTTCAACTGTTTTCCTATGCTTCAAATATGTATCTTTCAATTTCTTTTAACATTTAGAAAATTTATTTGAGCTCAGTGAAAGACTAATTATCAGAAACATTTGTTCACAACATATCTATTTCTGTCCCTGACCTTTTATCCATTGGATGAAAAATCAGTTTTGATCTTTAATTCTTACATTAGAATGAACACCTTGAAAAAAGCTTGAAATAGAATTTTTGTCTACTGGGAACCATTTTATAAATGAATTTCTGAATTTGAATTTGATTTTTACCTTTAAATTAAAATCGGTCTTGACTTGAAAAGATTTATGTTATAAAATTTCATAAGAATTTAAAAACTTAAGTAACAAACAGATTTAACAGTTAGGCAAATGGAAAGGACTCTAATTCATTTTTTACAGCATTGTGCAATTGTGGTTTTCTGCTTGCAGTTATAGATCTATACCTTGGAAAAATTGTTGTAAATTGTGTCAATCTCAAATTTTATAAAAATTATGAATATGTTTTTTTTTTTTAAAACTTGAATATCACATACTGTAAACCAACTTTTATTCACAAGGACTTTATTTCATGATTTACTAGGGGTTAACAAGTTCACAACAATTAATTTTTTTGATCAGGCCTTTTTTTGATCTGTTTTTAATAGACACAGAGATTTAAAGGACTGAAATATTCGCGATGACAAGGCTCTCGCAAACCTCGCGAAAAATTTTCACATGTGAATAAAAGTTGGTTTACAGTATTCTCTATGTAAAATTGGAGTTGCTGCTATACTGCTATAACAATGAAACAGTACATTGACACTCTGGCTAATTAAGCTTCCTCATTGTCCAAACTCCTTTACTCATCATTTAAAACCTTTGTATGAACAATTATTTTTCCAGCCAAAAATCATATATGTAAGTGGTGAATGAAATGAAAACACAAATTACCCAATTAGGATCTCAAGTACATTAAAGTAAGTATAGTGTGCATAGTACAACTGACAATTCCCTGAACTTACACTGCTTCACTAAGAAATACTCTGTACATGTATACTTATACAGGGAAAATTTCATCCTTGTGAATTTAATATGGGGTCCATAAAAAGACAGAATGATTTCTTAACAAAAACTTTGTCTGGGCAAATTTTAAACAGAGAAATGTTGTTTGCACGTGTTAAAAGACAAAAATAAGTTCAACGAGATGAAAATAACCCTGTATACAGTTGATACAAAATGCAGCCCCTATATATCTTTCTCTCTCTCTCTCTCTCCTTTCCAGAAATATCTTAAATTGTTCACAATTAATATTTATATATAAATATCTAAAGCTAGCATGGCACGTCATACGTATAAATTCCTCCTATATATGTACTACATGTATATAAATTCCCCCTGTATACGTACGGGTTCATAAGTCGGTTGTCATAACCTTGAATGCCGTTGATGGAGTTGTTGATCCCTGTACAACTATAGAGTCCGTTCATTGGGCTTTGTGTCTGAGTGTGTGGAGGGGTAGATGTGATGGGGGCATGGGGATTTGCCAGGTGGTTGAACTTGTAGCACTCGTCCAGCTGCTGCGGGGGAAGACTGGGGTGGTTCTGGGTGGGGAGGGGTCGTCCGTTGTTGGGGTATGCTATGGCGGGTATGGCTTCCTCGGGAAGGCACCTACAACGAAATCTTCAAAAATCAACAAGATGCACGGCATAATCAAGTCATTTGTACAAGTTCTCTCTGCATTTGGAAAACAAACTGAATACTAAAAATACTTTTATAAATATTTTTACTCCTTTTTGCTTACCATAAATAAATTCTTAAATTAGTCAAACTATTTACCATCAGAAATAGATTCCAGAACTAAAGCTATTCAGCCTATTGTCTCCATAGCGATTTTATTTACTTCCCCTTATGTCATGCAAGATTGAACAGTATAAAATCCTTTTTTTGCAGCTGGGTTTTTTTAAATAATGAAAACGATATCAAGTGGGTCATCAATCAACATAATTACATCATTGGTGAGGACATTAGAACACTAATTACATTGTTTAAGTACTTCCTTTGTATTTAACTCAATATTTTGTACAGATATTGAGATTGTCGGTATACAATGTCTGCCTTCAAAACAAACTCAGATCATCTAAAGCTTTCATCAATATGCCTTTTTTTCAATTAGAAATTAAAACTATTGATCAAATCTTAGAAAGAGTTACTGGTATTTGAATATCAAACATAATTTGTGCAAATGCGAATCAACCGAATATTAAGATTTTATAGCATAATTTGCTTTATATCTCAATATATTTTTTTTTAATTTACCAAAAAATGACCACTTTTGATTCTTATCAGCTGCAAAAGACGTGTATAACCTTCAGACAAAAATTCAAGCATATTTTGAGGTCCTAATTCCTTATCCAAATTTAAGTAACACATTACCAACATGGAAATTCCAAAAGAATCATTTTTCCACAGTTCCATAGTCAAATGACAGATAGTCCTTGCTTAATGAAAATATTTTCAATTACCACAGCATCAAAGAAGTAATTAGGTTTAAAATCTTCATATATAGACAGAGACACCAAAATAAGAAGAATTCTATCCAAATTCTTTTCAATCAATTAAATATCACTGGTTGATACACTAAATTCCAGTCTAATTAAAAGAACTTGCAACATCTTATTAAGGTCCTTCAATAATTACCTCATGATTGCTTCACATTAAATATGCAAAGTGCATTTTATAACAATGATCCCGTTCAAATTCTGTGAGCTGACTGCAGGTCGCTGTGAATGATCAGATATAACCACAATGAGGAACCAGTGACACATCAAAAGAAGCTACTAATTAAATTGATGAATTAAAAATCAAATCATTCAGCTCCCTATTTCACCTTCCACAATTCACTCAATTTTTTTTTCTTCTCTGAAGTAGACGAGCACACAATTTTTTTTTTCTCTCTCAAGTGAGCAAACAATAATGACTGACAAATATAATTTTGAACAAAAATGATTGTGTACTTTGAATAAACAAAATGCAGAAGGGATCCCCTGAACGGGTTGTTAACTGTGTAGCAAATGAAAATCTACTATTATATAACAAAGCTTAGTAAAAGGACGAGACTGGCACATCTATACACCGATGCCTCTAATTAAACCAGCCCCTGATGTTTAAATCATTTAACTTGAAAAAAAAATATATGTTTAATTCTGTGTTGAACTTTCATGAATTTTGTGGGAAATAAACATCCAGAATAAAAAAGGAAGATCCAAGTGCCTGGGGTACCTTTCATAAGGAGAGACTTAAGAATAATAGGGCCAGCAGACAAGTTTACCGTTCACATTATCTGCATTTACGCAAAACAAGAACTGACATTTGTTTTGAATGTGAAATAATTTTATTCATAATAAAACAAACTGCCTATTTTGATTTTTTAACATTTACGTTTTTATTAAATTAAACAAATATCATCCAGATCTCTCTTTTTCCAGGAAATATTTAACGCACTCCTCAAGTGTAGTCATTAATCTGTCAAATCTAAAATCAAACTTTAACATTAATGGCTATTTTTTCATTAAATTTAAGATGAATTAATTCTATTTACCTGTACATGTCAAAGCCGGGTCATCTTGGTTGTCAATATTCCATGTAAATTTTGTCAAAAACAACTTAGTTTTACATGCACATCTCATTCACAATGGGGAGAAGTAATATAATCGCACAGAAAATATCAATTATTGTATCTACTCAGAAAGGAATCAGAATTTAAGGAAATGCTTTTAATTACACATTAAGCATTTTTCAATCACTTTTGAGCCTCAATTGTGGATTTATTTGAATAACAGAGTAGATATAGGTAACCATCAAAACTTTCAGAATTGTGCGTTCCACTCCAGTGAATTTGGATTACTCTTTTAATGGAATTCCAAGTTAATAATAAACATATCCTGTTTTTTAAGTCACTTTCTTGACATACACACAATACTGAATACACTATATTGAACAGATAATTTACAAGTTTGTCAACAATTCTTTCCCCTCAAAATCAACTGATTTGTCAAAGATTATCCCTTTCAGCGTATGTCGGAACAAATCACCCCGATTGAAACCTAATTCACCATCAGAAGACCTTTACTGCCCAGAGTGCTTTCTATTAGCGTACCCTGAAGTGGGACAAAACATCAGGTGTGTAAAAAAGGCGGAACAGGTTTATCAGTGACCCTAACCGTGCCCCTAGGGTGTAAGGTCCTATTATTATTGTATATCCACTATTCTGGTATTTACTTATGACTTAATGAAGCGTGCATGGTATCATTTAACAGGCATAAAGTAAACAGCCACTTGTCAGCTTTACATATGTACTAACACCTCTTTAATGAGACTACTTAACTGGGCTCATATTTCTTTGTCTTCAAATCCAACCTTTTTACCAATGCTGTTTTTTTATAAGACAGAAACAGAGATGAGGAACTCTTTCTGTAGTAGATAAACCTGCAAACTCTGAGTCTCCTTCTCTGTGAATGTTCAGACATCTATAATTCATACCTGAAGGCACCTAACATGGCTTCGCATTGCCAACGACAATCGGCACTAGTCGTCGCCTGGTACGCACGGCTCGCGTTACAGTGGTACGACTTTGAACGTCTTGTCCAACCTGTCAGGCTTCAGAAGACCTCAGGTTTAGACACCTCGCTGCTTACAAATAGTAGCTAACTACTCCTCACTATATAATCACTGTGCAATAGTGAATTGTGAAAATAATAAACCAAAGATTCATTTTAGAAATGATTGGGGTGGCATTGTTTGATTTTAAATCCATTATTTACTCTTCTCTTCAAGAGGAACAGCTAAATTGATGAAATAACTCTCTGATTGATCACCGCTATTTTAATGGGCCTTTTTTAAACATTTCTTCTGAGTGATGTCCTGTACTTTACTTTCCATAAATTAAAATACTAACAAGCTTCTGTGTACTTAATTGCCTATAAGGTCACACTATAGATTAATAGATTTACAATTTACTACAGATAAAAACCCATTGAGTACATACCCTTTGTAATACTAAACCAAGACAAAATTGATATTAGTTGAAAACAATAATTACGAGAACCATTATCAATATCCTTATAAGCATATCATTTAGAAAGAATCGCTATCTGGGTTTGAATTTGCCAATATTTTCCAAAAATAAGGAAGAACAATCTGTAACCAAGACAAAATGTTGTATTTTTTCCTTAATTTTTACCAAGAAAAAAATTAAATATATACTGCTAAATATATAAAACAGTGAATTTGGACTACTAACCAACTTTTTATGCAAATGTTAGGAGTTGATGTACTCAACTTGAATTAATCATTTTACCATACTTTATTGATGTATCTGTTCAAACTTCCGCAAAAGAAACAAAAAAAAAAACGTTATTCAAAATGAGTATACAATATGTGAACAAAGGGAAGCAACTCAATAACAATTTTTTTTTCTGAAGATTTGAAGAATGCTATTATTTAGCCAAGTTATGTAAAACTGTTATATCATATATATGGACTTCCTACAATATAAACATTACACAGTTTTCTAACAACTGCCAGTTCTGTATAAAAGATCTTAATCTGCTGTTCATTATGTAAACTACTCATATGTTGATTTGTTCTGTTGTTAAATTTTTGTGGTACATGTACTTATAAACAATATACCCCATGTTGGAGAGTTTAGTAAAATAAGTCTCCAGATACCTTTAGAAAATAACTGATCTTGCAATTGTCCAAATTAGAAAAAAAGGATATCTTTTTAAAAAAGTCAGTGCAGTGAATGATTTAGCACTTCATGCACACATTTATCAAAATACAAATATGTAAATTATCTTTGTGTAATCATTCTCTAGGCTATATAGTACCAGGTCCCTCCGTCTTTGAAATAATTAACACAAATATTTGTATTTGACTATTCATTCATTTTACCATATACTACATAATGGCTCACGGAATACCTGGTGACATTATGGCAATGAATTTCTCCTGAGAACTAGTCATGATGCACATCAAAAATGGCCACAGTTATTTCCATATTTTTTGCAAATCTCTGTTTATCTTGGCATATTGTGGTTAAAATATAATTTTCAAGACTTCAACAAATGGGATTCATTTCATTAACATTAAAATTTAAAAGTAGAAGTTTCATTTAAAATTTTATTTTTTATGTAATCCTCTTTCCTCTCCCTACTCAATATTCTAGCCTATATATGTCTTTATATTTATGACCATGCAGAAATATCTACTGTAAGATATATGCAAATATCTTACTCGTAGTTTCCTTTTAAAATCAAATTTTGAATGAAAAGTCATAAGTAAGCAATAGACAACATTGACCCCCACCCCAAAACCCATGAAAAAGGGTTTTTGACATTTAGGCAAGTTTACTTTTTTGTCAACAAATTTGTGGGCTTGTTTTTTTTGGACTGGGTGGACCCCCCCCCCCCCCCCCCTTTGAAAAATTCCTGCATCTGCACCTGATTAATCATTTTTTTATTTTTCATTAAAACCATTTATTGTCATACACTTAAATTATCTGAAAAGAAAAGTACATGTATACCAATATGTCTATGTATTTTATGTCAATTAAACATTTTTTTCTTTTATGGCAGTGTGAAGGGTTTCAACAGGACAACAAACTATCA